AGAGCGTGCCCGCCTGGAGGCTAGTGTACGCGTCCTAAGCATGTTTAAGGCAGACTGCGCTAAGCTGTCATGGTCAGTGTATCCCATGCACTTTTTAAAAAATATGTTTTTATTGATTTCAGAGAGGAAGAGAGAAGGAGAGAGAGATAGAAACATAAGTGATGAGAGAGGATCATTGATCAGTTGCCTCCCTCATGCTCCCTACAGGGGACTGAGGCTGCAACCCAGGCATGGGACCCAGCCGGGAATTGAACCCTGACCTCCCGGTTCCTAGGTCGATGCTCAACCACTGAGCCACACCGGCCTGACTCCTCTGTTACTCTTCCCATACTCCTGCTTACAACATAGCTGTTCCAAATAAATACTCATGGTTTTAAAATAAAAAAATGGGTCTCTCCTCAGAGGCGTCTCTCCCAGACAAAGGACGACATCCACCACGTGCAGAAAGCCACCGAATGTGAGAACTTAGAAAGTCTCAAGCTCCCCTCTCCCCTCGCCCCATTACACAGATTGGAAAACCAAGGCTCAGAGAGGGAGAGAGGCCTGCCCAGGGCCCTTACCAGACTTCCCGGACGGTGTCATTCCTTTCCAGGGCCTGCAGGAGGGCTTCCGCGCCTCGGTAGGTGACGCGGTTGTTGGACAGCCTGCGGAGGAAGAGGCACCGGTGAGCTTCCCAGATGCTCCGTTGTCCCCGTGGGCCTGTCCTGTCGAAGGAGGCGTTAGGAGTTGGCCGGACTGATAAAGCCGCCCGCCACCCCTCCTCACGCCCCTCTCCTGCTGAGATGCCCAGTGAGCTCCCCATAGAGGCGTGGGGCTTACGGTGAGACGGCGGCTCTCTCCCCCACACGCCAGGTTCGTTGATCTGACTCAGGCTGCACCCTCGGGAAGGTGCTAAGCATGGTGGCTAGTACAAGCGTCTCAGTGCCAGACTTCCTGGGTCCCGGTCCAACTTCCTTTCTGATCTCAAGCACCTGAGTCCCACCGTCCTCCCCTCTGACATGGACCTAAAGGAGTGTCCACCCCACAAAGGATCAGAATTGAAGGACGGTTTGTTCTGAACCGCGTGGCACTGAACTTAACGGGTGGAAAGGAATCAATGGCCCCAGCCAGTTTGGCTCAGGGGATAGAGCATCGGCCTGCGGACCCAAGGGTCCTGGGTTCGATTCCCATCAAGAGCATATACCTTGGTTGCAAGCTCCTTCCAGGACCGGGCCCTGGTCCTGGTTGGGGCTCATGCAGGAGGCAACCAATCGATGTGTCTCTCTCACATCGATATTTCTCCCTGTCTCTCCCTCTCTCTTCCACTCTCTCTAAAAATCAATGGGAAAACATCCTCGGGGGAGAATTCATAAAAAAAGGATCAATGAACAGGGAGACAGGTTGGGGGTGGGGAAGGGAGGTGTCAGGCTGTCAGGGCCGGAGGGGAAGTGGGGGGGAAGAGGCACAGGTTCCCCATCCTGTCCTTCTCATAACCCTGCCCTTCTCATAGCTCAGCTAGTCAGATCACCTCCCCCCCTGCCTCCACGCCCTCCACCACGGCAGCGACTTCTCAGAAACGGACGCCGAGGCCATGCCATGAGTAATAACAGCCCACCAAGTGGAGTCCTACTGTGTGCTTACTGTTACCTCCACCCTCTCCCGCTCAGACCCCGAGTGTGGGCCCGATGGTCATCCCCGTTCACCCCTGCGTGGCCGGGCCCTCGTCCAAGGGGCAGCAGCCGGGGCTGGTGGGGCGGGTCCAAACCCAGGCATTGGTCCACTGCCCACACTCAACCAACGCTTGGCAGTTTGGTTACAAGATGTAGGCGTCTTTCTATGGGGAACCGAGAGGGGGGATCGCTTAGAGACGCTGAATGATAAGCCACGCCAAGGCAGGGTGGGACGGCCCCTGGTGCACGGCCTGGCCTCCCTTGGGGCCGACTGGGCAAGTCCGTGGCCATGAGAGAGCACAGTGTCCCCTCCCCCACACCGGGTCCGGGGTGGAGCGGGCAAGGCCACCGGTCTCCCTGTCCGCGAGGCCAGGTGACCCGCTCAGGCACATCCCGCTGCACCGGGCTCCCAGCCACTTCGCCCGTAATGAGCGGAAGCGATTTCCCCAAATATTTGGCAACTGCCCGGCCCCTCAAAGCGGCACACACAGCGTCCCCAGAGCGGCGGGCATGTGGGCAAGCAGCGCTCTCCCAGAGGCCGCGTCTGCTTCCCTCGGCCGCGCTCGCCAGGGAACGCGCCCCTCCTCCAGCGAAAGGAGCCATCGCGATGCCCTCTGTGCCTCAGCGAGCGCCCAGCACCGGGGGTGGGGGGTGGGGGCATTCTCGTGTCCACACAGGCACGGACACACGCGCCCACCATAGAGCAAGCGTGCCTGCCCGCCTCACACGAGTGACACCCTGGAGGTGACATCATGAGACGCCTCTCGCCTGGGCCAGAGAGGCCTGGAGATGGGGGGCCGTGGCACCTGCTGCCGGCAACCAGCCCTGTCCCCTTAGCTCCCACCTCTGGCTCCTGCTCGCTGGGAAGGGCCTGTCCCCGCCCAAGGCCTTACTGCCGACCCCGGGCTGTAGGGTGCTGCCCATCCATCTCACGTCAACATGAGGCGGACGGGCAGCACCCCACAGCCCGGCACCAGCGGATGGAGCCCCAGACGCCCCGGGGATACCAGACGTGGGGACACGCCATCACCGTTATCTTCCCTTCCCTTCCCCGCCTCCCTCCATGGCTCTGTCACCAGGGTTTGCTGGGCCCGCCTGGCCTTGCAATCCCTGCCTGCATTTTGGGGGACCCCCTCCCCCCAGCAATACCAGCCGGTTCCGCCAGGCCGCCTGCTGGGAGGTAGCCAGGCCTCTGCCCGGGTTCCCCACCTCCCTCCACGGCTCTGTCACCAGGGTTTGCTGGGCCCGCCTGACCTTGCATCCCTGCCTGCGCTTTGGGGGACCCCCCAAAACCAATACCAGCTGGTTCCATCAGACTGCCTGCTGGGAGGTAGCCAGGCGGGGCCCCTGCCCGGGGTGTCCCCTCAGCTCCCACCTCCCCGCTCCGACGGCTGCTCGCTGGGAAGGCCCCGTCCCCGCCCGAGGCCTTGCTGCCAACCGACCGCGGAAGATGCTCACGTCAACATGAGGTGGACGGGCAGCACCCCACAGCCCGGCACCAGCGGATGGAGCCCCAGACGCCTCGGTGATCCCAGACTTGGGGACAGGCCGTCACCGTTATCTTCCCTTCCCTAAGAGGAGAGAGGGCTCTGTGGGGGCGGGAACAGTCGTCATGGAAGGGGAGGTCGCTGGAGAGGAGCCGGGTCCCCCCACTTAGCAAGGCCAACACTCCCAATCCACACTTGGGGGTTCCATCCCAGGGACATTTTGGGGAGAGAACATCCCCAAATTCTCCAGGACATAAGAGGTCCCCTCATGTCCCAGGGACTCAATATCCATTTCCGGAGCCGGGTCCCCCCACTTAGCAAGGCCAACACCCCCAATCCACACTTGCAAATAAAGTAAGAGCAGAGAAGGCAGGTGTGGGGGGCTCTGTCCCAGGGACATTTTGGGGAAAGAATGTCCCCAAATTCTTCAGGACGTAAGAGGTTCCCTCATGTCCCAGGGACTTAATATCCATTTCCTCTTTCTTTTTTCTTTTTCTTTTTTTAAATATATTTTTATTGGTTTCAGAGAGGAAGGGAGAGGGAGAGCGAGAGAAACATCGACAATGAGAGAGAATCATGGATCGGCTGCCTCCTGCACGCCCCACACTGGGGATCAAGCTGGAAGACCGGGCCTGTGCCCTGACCGGGAATCAAACCCTGACTTCCTGGTTCATAGGTCGATGCTCAACCACTGAGCCATACCAGCTGGGCTTCTCTTTCTTTCTTATGAATGGAAGCCTCATTTCGTTTGGGGCAGCCATGTGGTTGGTCAAACAAACAACAACAAAACCCCCAATTTCCCACTCTGCATTGCAGCCAGGGCCGGCCAAGAGACCTCCCCGTGGCCATGGCAAATGGGCCCCTGGGAACGCTCTCAAAAGGGGAGAGACCCCGCCGGCCCGTGCCTTGGCCCTCCCTGGAAAAGGAGACTGCATCCTGGAATGCACACGGAATGTTGGAGGTGCTGCAGCCCTCTTATGGTCATGAGGCAACCGCCCGTGAGGGTGAAGCCACGGACGGAGGATGTGATGGGACAGAGAGTCCAGAGCCCCGCTGGCCTGTGGCCACCCACCGTCCCTGCACTGCACCGCCTGCCTCCGGGACACCTGTAGGCGGAAAACGGAGTCCTCTCCTAGTTGAAGCCACCGTAGGGGAGGCTCTCCCTCACCCCCAGCCCACGGAAGTCAGAACTGACGCACTGGCAGCGAGGCACCCCTCTCCCAAGAAGTTCCAGGTGGCCAAACCCCGGCAGGACAGAATCCCTGGTCCGTGGGCGGAGCCAGCGAGCCCTACCGACAGCCAAGGCCCACCCCACCTCCACTCTGTGGCGCTGCCTGAGGTCCCGGTCCCTTCTGCTTCCTGGATGAATCAGGGACTCATCTGCCTGAGGGAACGTGGGACCGCCCAGGATGCGTCATAAGGAGGCTAAGCTGGTGGCAACTGACGGACGGAAAACCTGGAGTCCGCTTCAGATGGGCCCTGCCTGTGTGATTCATGGTCCATCTTTCACTCCACCCCCGCCCCCCACCTAACAGGGCGGCCTGGCCACACTGACATGATGGGCGGCTGTCAGTAGTGACGTCACAGGTGGCTACAGCGGGTGCAGCGGCCACACCGGCTGTGACCGGGGAACACGTGTGAAGCACTTACTAAGCTCATCCCGGGCATCGCCTTGTTTAATTTTTACAAACGTGTTTCTAGTTGGAGAAAATGAACTAGACTCGGAGACTGCACTGAACTGGCCTCTGACCACAGCCGGCCTTGCAGCTCAGCCCCTGGATTCCGGAATCCGTGCTCTCACCCGGGAGGCTGCCTGGAGGCAGTACACACACCAAGGAACCCACAGTGCAGCTCAGTAAGAAGAGCGAGCACCTCCCCGGCCTGTGTGGCTCAGTGGTTGAGCATCGACCTATGAACCAGGAGGTCACAGTTCAATTCCCGGGTTGTGGGCTCCATCCCCAGTAGGGGGGTGAGTGGGAGGCAGCTGATTGATGATTCTCTCTCATCGTTGATGCTTCTATCTCTTTCTCTCCCCCTCCATCTCTGACATCAATAAAAATATATTTAATTTTTTTTTTAAGAAAAGGGGGGGACGAGCACCTCTATGCCGACTCGGTAAGCTTCGTTCGCCAGGACACTGAGAGATGAGTGCAATCAAGCAATCACTCCATCATAGACCTTTGTCTCGTCCGCACTGCTGCTTCCCCAGCGAGGCCAGGGAATGAAGAGAGGCTGGCCTCTGCCCCCGAGAGGAGGGACCCCCCCAAACTCACCAGAGTTCCTCCAGTGCCATGTTCTTCTCCAGCATCGAGGCTAAGGCTCGGGCACCCACACTGCCAATGCGGTTCCCCACCAGGCTGGATGCCATCAGGGAACAAGAACGGGTCAGAGCGGGGAGGGGCCTGGGAGATAAGCTAAGCCGGGATGCATGACACACACACACACCCCACACACATACACACACATACACACACACACACACACACACACACACACGGCCCCACTTCCCGCTCTGCTCCATTCCAGAAATCAATTAATAATTGATTATCGCATTATTTTCTACCAAGCCCAGGCAACCAATCAATGTGTCTCTCATGTCAATGTTTCTCTCTCTCTCTCTCTTCTTCCTTCCTCCCTCCCACTCTCTCTCCAGAAATCAATTGAAAAAATATCCTCTGGTGAGAATTTTTTTTAATATTTGATCCATCCCAAGACCTTCAACTTACAGACAGGGAAGCAAGGCCCTTGAGAGGAGAAGGGGCCGCTCCCAAGTCACCCCGAAAGACTCCAGTGTCCAGACCCCAAACCCTCTGGCCTCTCCCTCTCATCCCTCTGCCCCGCACGGGGGCGGGGGTGGGGGTAAAAATAAAGGTCCGAGACCTTTAGAACTGGCCCGGCTCCCCCCTCCTCATGCCGGCTCCCCAGCAGGACGGCGGGACAGACACGGAAGCTTACCTGAGCCATCTCAAGCTCTGGTGGTCGCTCAGGGCTTCCGCCAAGGCCTGCGCCCCCTTGTCCCCCACCTCGTTGCCCCAGAACCTGAAAAAGCCAGCAGAGTCAGCAGTGTCAGGGCGGACGCGCCGTGTGCTCCAGCCAGGCTGTGTGTGCTCCAGTGGTTCCTCCCTCTCCGCGGCCCGCCCGGGGGCAGCACCGGCCCCCCAATCCCAGAAGGGTCTCAGGGGAGCTCCCGGCTCCCAGCCAGGCGGGCCTGCCTCCGTTGTTCCCGAGGGATGGCCAAACTTTTCCCTCTGAAAAAGTTTCCAGGGACGGGGAACTCACTCCCCACGGCAAGCCCCATGGTTGGCATTTAGGTCGGATCAGCTTCCTGGGAGCTGTGCCCACAAGTGCCTGGACCTGCCTGGAGGGGTGTGTGGCCCCGTCCCGCACACAGGAGGCTCCACTCCGGGGCCGGGGCCTGTGGAGCTGTGCACCCCCAGCCTGTCAGACACCCCGCCCCTCGCCGCAGGCCTGGCGAGCCTCCCGCCAGCAGGAGCTCCGAAGGGCCTGGTCCAGCCACCAGCCTCCCCCGTGTCCTTCTCTCTCCTCCATCAGCACCTCCTCTGGGAGCTTTCGAACCTGACTGATTCCTGACTGACTCGGGGCCCTGCCCTTAGGGGGATCCCTTAACTGGTCTGCGGAGGGGCCCTGGCCAGGGCTGCTTCAAAGCCCCGCTGGCTCCCAGGCACAGACAGAGGTGAGAAGCAAGGACCCAAGCTTCCTGCCACCTCGCGGGCACTGCCCTCCCCCACCCTGCCACCCTCAGCTTCCTGTTTACTGGGGGAAAGCAAGTGCCAGGCAGCCAAGGAGGCTACTGGCTCCCCACCTGGCCCCCCACCAGAGCCCGGGCTGCCCATGGCCCTTCAGGCTCAGGAGCTTCCCCGGCCCCACACCCCTCCACAGGCCC